TCAAACTGGTCTTCTGGTCTTATCCACAAGGTGTTGCTCACGGTACCTTCAATTTTGCCATGACATGTTCCGGGGATGCAGAGAGCGAAAGTGATCGTAACCCTTTTAGTATCGAGGATGATCTTAGGCTTCAATATGTAGCTAATCTATAGCTATTATATATCTAAGTCCGTGGGTAGGTGACCTCCATACCTTTCCATGTCATCAGACATTTAGGCGACTTCGTCACCTGATCAATCTATCGATATACCGATATTAATCAGCTAACATCATATTTACCCGTCGCCAGAGAATTCTTATGGCCCTGGGCGGAATATCACTGACCGAGATCTAATAGCTCGGCCAATATTGTATATGAAAGACAATTTTATTAATCAAAATAAATCTAGCATCATGAATTGATTTATTTATACTCAGTTGATTAAACTATTATTACATAATGAACAGTAAATCAGTAGCATTTTGATGAGTCGTATATGTCTTCCGGAAGTATAAATTGAAGTAATTTAGAATGTCAATCCGTTAACTAATAAGATATCATTTCTTGTGGTTTCGGCAGGGATTATGTGGTCTTTTCATGCTGCACCAAACAGCCAGTAAAACGTTAACTAAATCAGAACCGATTACAAGAGGGGAAAATATGAAACATAAGAAAGATTTACACTGACTGGCCTCCGAACGAGGATGCTAGTACCTGATGTTCTGGAAGGACAACTGTCTTCTGCTTTATTCGTGACATCCGCCATCGCAAATTGTATTTAATCTAAGCTAGTAATTAAAAGTCGTCAAATGAGATAAAAGTTGATTAATGTCATTGTCACTACTAAGTATATAAAGTGCACATCGAACACATCTAAATTCATATCGCACAAAGACATATAATATTTCTCAACGATAATTCAACACAACAAACCTTACTCCTGATAATTCAACACAACAAACCTTACCCCTGAAAATTCAACACAATAAACCTTACCCCTGAAAATTCAACATAACAAACCTTACCCCTGACAATTCAACACAACAAACCTTACCCCTGATAATTCAACACAACAAACCTTACCCCTGACAATTCAACACAACAAACCTTACCCCTGATAATTCAACACACCAAACCTTACTAGTGATAATTCAACACAACAAACCTTACCTCTGACAATTCAACACAACAAACCTTACCCCTGATAATTCAACACAACAAACCTTACCCCTGACAATTCAACACAACAAACCTTACTTCTGAAAATTCAACATAACAAACCTTACTCCTGACAATTCAACACAACAAGCCTTACTTCTGACAATTCAACACAACAAAACTAACCTTACTTCTGACAATTCAACACAACATAACAAACCTTACTCCTGACAATTCAACACAACAAGCCTTACTTCTGACAATTCAACACAACAAAACTAACCTTACTTCTGACAATTCAACACAACAAAACAAACCTTACTCCTGACAATTCAACACAAAAAACAAACCTTACTCCTGACAATTCATCACAACAAAACAAACCTTACTTCTGACAATTCATCACAACAAACCTTACACCTGACAATTCAACACAACACAACAAACCTTTCTCCTGACAATTCAACACAACAAAACAAACCTTACTTCTGACAATTCAACACAACAAAACAAACCTTACTTCTGACAATTCAACACAACAAACCTTACACCTGACAATTCAACACAACACAACAAACCTTTCTCCTGACAATTCAACACAACAAAACAAACCTTACTTCTGACAATTCAACACAACAAAACAAACCTTACTTCTGACAATTCAACACAACAAAACAAACCTTACTCCTGACAATTCAACATAACAAAACTAAGCTTTCTCCTGACAATTCAACACAACAAAACAAACCTTACTTCTGACAATTCAACACAACAAAACAAACCTTACTTCTGACAATTCAACACAACAAAACAAACCTTACTCCTGACAATTCAACATAACAAAACTAAGCTTTCTCCTGACAATTCAACACAACAAAACAAACCTTACTTCTGACAATTCATCACAACAAACCTTACACCTGACAATTCAACACAACACAACAAACCTTTCTCCTGACAATTCAACACAACAAAACAAACCTTACTTCTGACAATTCAACACAACAAAACAAACCTTACTTCTGACAATTCAACATAACAAAACTAAGCTTTCTACTGACAATTCAACACAACAAAACTAACCTTACTTCTGACAATTCAACACAACAAAACTAACCTTACTTCTGACAATTCAACACAACAAAACTAACCTTACTTTTGACAATTCAACAAAACAAACCTTACTTCTGACAATTCAACACAACAAAACAAACCTTACTCCTGACAATTCAACATAACAAAACTAAGCTTTCTCCTGACAATTCAACACAACAAAACAAACCTTACTTCTGACAATTCATTACAACAAACCTTACACCTGACAATTCAACACAACACAACAAACCTTTCTCCTGACAATTCAACACAACAAAACAAACCTTACTTCTGACAATTCAACACAACAAAACAAACCTTACTTCTGACAATTCAACATAACAAAACTAAGCTTTCTCCTGACAATTCAACACAACACAACAAACCTTTCTCCTGACAATTCAACACAACAAACCAAACCTTACTTCTGACAATTCAACACAACACAACAAACCTTTCTCCTGACAATTCAACACAACAAAACAAACCTTACTTCTGACAATTCAACACAACAAAACAAACCTTACTTCTGACAATTCATCACAACAAACCTTACACCTGACAATTCAACACAACACAACAAACCTTACACCTGACAATTCAACACAACACAACAAACCTTACTTCTGACAATTCATCACAACAAACCTTACACCTGACAATTCAACACAACACAACAAACCTTTCTCCTGACAATTCAACACAACAAAACAAACCTTACTTCTGACAATTCATCACAACAAACCTTACACCTGACAATTCAACACAACAAACCTTTCTCCTGACAATTCAACACAACAAAACAAACCTTACTTCTGACAATTCAACATAACAAAACTAAGCTTTCTACTGACAATTCAACACAACACAACAAACCTTACTTCTGACAATTCATCACAACAAACCTTACACCTGACAATTCAACACAACACAACAAACCTTACTTCTGACAATTCATCACAACAAACCTTACTTCTGACAATTCAACACAACACAACAAACCTTTCTCCTGACAATTCAACACAACAAAACAAACCTTTCTCCTGACAATTCAACACAACAAAACAAACCTTACTTCTGACAATTCAACACAACAAAACAAACCTTACTTCTGACAATTCAACACAACAAAACAAACCTTACTTCTGACAATTCAACACAACAAAACAAACCTTACTTCTGACAATTCAACACAACAAAACTAAGCTTTCTCCTGACAATTCAACACATCCTACCAAACACCTGACAAATCAGCGCAGCCCAATCATCCAAAACACCTGACAATTCAATACAACACAGCTATCAAAACAACTGACAATTCAATACAACACAGCTATCAAAACAACTGACAATTCCACACAACCCAAAAAACCTATACCACTGACAATTCAATCCCAGCTCATACAGGATAACTTGACCTATCCAAGCTAATTAAATCAATCTTTTCTCAAACTAATGATAACCGAAACACTTACCCTACTGGCAAACATCTATGGTAATAATAATATTAATAAACATTCTTTATTGAGGATATAAAACATGTTTGGCCAAACGGCTTATCTTCCACGTGGTCCTCTTATTAGTAAAATACCTGGGTTAATAACAAAATTAAATGACAAGAACAGTACACACAATAACATCAAACAGAATCACAATATGATTAGATAAAATAGCTTAAAAACCTTCTATCACAGCATTTGTTAAGTTAAAAATATTACAGAATGCACAATGATCGCGCAAAGTTGTTACATCGATTAAATGGCTATTGCCTGATATACATAACCTGCTTACATAGCAAAACGTAAAAACGTAAGGTAAAAGGTTTACAACTGTGTTTAATAACTCTTGTGAAATGGCTTTGTCTTTCTGAACAAACATGGGAACGTGTTGAAAATCGACCTCCTACTCTGGTTCGTGAATTTCATGTCGCAGAAACTTAAGGAGACAACATAGTTTAAACTGACATAATTTTACAGCAGATTTACATAGCATGAACAATTACCTCACGACTTATTCTTCGTTTTCCCTTTCTCTTGAGTGAATTCCTATTTAAATGAATTAAACGTTATGCTTTAAATTGAGAAATGTATATACTTATGTTGTGTTTTACGGTGATTTGTATTTTATTAGTCTACGTCTTCTTAGGTATATCCTTGGTCTCTCAGTAAGACACATTCCTGTTCGACCCAACACCTAGACTATCCATCACAATACTGGTTACACGTTATTGAAGTAACATTCCATATGCAATGTACCTATCTGGAACTGTCCAGCCTTTTAATCGAAGTATTCATTGATGGCTTACCAATAGTGAACGAACTACCCGGTATTCGAATCTAAAATAACAGCAACATTCAATCAGTCATATCCATGACACAGCAAGTCGATCAGCTGACATTCTTTATCAACGTGTTGATAAACAAGTGTCGGTTATAATGGTTATTCTATAAGGTGCAAAATTCCAGATTTTGAAATTCATAATCTTCATATTTTTTCCTTTTCTTCCTTGTTCCATTTCAGTGTTAAATGGTTTTAGCGATGGTTTTTAATATTTCCGTACCTCAATTTAAAATGATGCAATGCTGTATGCAGTCTACGATATCACTGAACAGTCCAAACAAAGTGAAAAACTGCCGAAACCTGTATCCCAGTCCAGGATTTTTAAAATGGCGATGATGATGACATGGGAAGCGTATTGTTTAAATTGAATCTAACGAGTCCGAACTCCAAGGCAATCGTGATGTTGACAAAGCTCATTTGGAAAGTAATGGTGATGAAAGGATGTCTACAGACAGAACCAGACAGGGACGGGGTGATGAAAGGATGTCTACAGACAGAACCAGAAAGGGACGGGGTGAAGATGGTAGGATGCATACAGACAAAGCCAGAAAGGGATGGGGTGATGATGGTAGGATGCCTACAGACAGAACCAGACAGAGACGGGGTGATGATGGTAGGATGCCTACAGACGGAACCAGAAAAGGATGGGGTGATGATGGTAGGATGTCTACAGACAGAACCAGAAAGGGACAGGGTGATGATGGTAGGATGCCTACAGACAGAACCAGAAAAGGATTGGGTGATGATGGTAGGATGTCTACAGACAAAACCAGAAAGGGACGGGGTGGTCATGGTAGGATGTCTACAGATAGAACCAGAAAGGGATGTGGTGGTGATGATGGTAGGATGTCTACAGATAGAACCAGAAAGGGATGGGGTGATGATGGTAGGATGTCTACAGATAGAACCAGAAAGGGATGTGGTGATGACGGTAGGTTGACTGTATATGTCTACAGATATAACCAGAAAGGGATTTGGTGATGATGGTAGGTCGACTGTCTATGTCTACAGATAGAACCTGAAAGGGATGGGGTGATGATGGTAGGTTGACTGTCTATGTCTACAGATAGAACCAGAAAGGGATATGGTGATAATGGTAGGATGTCTAGAGATAGAACCAGAAAGGGATGTGGTGATGATGGTAGGTGGACTGTCTGTCTACAGATAGAACCTGAAAGGGATGTGGTTATAATGGTAGGTGGACTGTCTGTCTACAGATAGAACCAGAAAGGGATGGGGTGATGATGGTAGGTGGACTGTCTGTCTACAGATAGAACCTGAAAGGGATGTGGTGATAATGGTAGGTGAACTGTCTGTCTACAGATAGAACCAGAAAGGGATGGGGTGATGATGGTAGATGGACTGTCTGTCTACATATAGAACCTGAAATGGATGGGGCAATGATGACGGGATGGCTACAGAGTAGGAAGGGATGGAGGTAATGATGGTTATTTGAAAATTGTTTACCTTCTTATTGTGTTACTTTTGGAAATCGTTAGTTGCCTACTCATGGAGAAAAATGGTTTATAACAACTTGAAAGGCTACTTGTAGTTAAATCTTAACTTCTTCGCTACAGCTTTACAAAGAGATATAGATAATATGGGCAGTTTATTTGCCCTCTATATTATACACCTCTGCTTAAACTTAAGGAGTTTCCCTTAACTAATATAATGTTATCCAATTTTAAGGGAAGGTTTGGGAAGATACGTGAAACTGGCGACTGGTAGTAACTGAGATTAAACCCCCGATCCCACCGTGTTAATAGCCAGTGACATTTCAGATTATTTTAATAGAGACTGGGCATGCGCAAGGCGGACATTTTGAAACGCCATCATCAATAATAGAAGTGTACATGAACGGAACAGGCAATGAACAGACGGTATGGAGTTTGTAGCAACTGTGATAATACTAAAAAGTGATAACCTAGTGGTTGTCACGAGCCCATTATATATTCCTTGCTCATTTTAGACAAACGAGATCCTTCTAACGTTCGGTTAGACTGTAGGCCTAGGTGTCTAATTGTTGAAAGCTGAGTTTGAAATTTTCACTCGATTCACTAGATCATCTTCGGTCTGTATAAGCTAAATCCTTGTAGACCACCGTAACTATTAATTCTTCTTTTTGTCATGGGTTGCCCATAGTGGTATTACAGAGCTAGTTTGTCCAGCTTCTTATAATTACATCCAAGTATTTAAAAATAATACTGCGTGGACGTCAAAATCCACTTTTCAAAATATTGTCAGTACTTTGTGTGTGTGTGTGTATATATATATATATAGTTCATAGATTCATATTTCCCTAGTATAAAGCTCCTTACTATTAGCAGCATGGATTGAACTTGATATCTAGCCATTTCTAATTGTTGTTTATCCTTGATTTGCATGCATTCAGCGTTGTTGCACCTTTAGTCACTTTATGCGGTAAACGGTTCCAGTCTCTTTTAACTCTTGATCCGAATGAGTGTCTTATGCAGTCTAGTCTTGAGTATTTCTACAGAATTTTGAAGCTTATTCACACAGTAGTAAACTTGTATGTGTCGTTTTCAATACAAAGACACCCTTTTCTTATGATGAATTTATTAAAAAATATAGCATTGATTATTTATAATGGAATATTTATAATGGGATAATCTCTGCAATTAGGATATGTTTACAAAGTTAAGATTAACTGACCCATCCTTCAGTACCAGTTAACATTGCTTTATTTGTTAAAAAAGACCCACAGGTTAAAGAATATTTTACAACTTGTTAAACAGTAATAAAAATCTCATAAATAAAGGCAAGGAAAAGTTGGGATACCTCTTTGATATTAAGGAAGATAATAATGCTTAGATAGAAAATACACGGTCATGATCATTGTTTTAAAATGTAAGCTACATTTTGGCTCAGGACAGAAAGACAAAAGTGGCCTGTCAATTTTATCTTTTTTACCCTTGTCAAAATCATATACATTTGTCTCTCTGTCCTGAGCCAGAATGTAGCATGTATTTTAAGACACAACCATGTATTTTATGCAACACTTATTGAAAATTAAGACTATCAACATTTCAAGAGTTTGTGAAGTCTATTCAGTCTTTGTTTACCCGATGTTAACATTTAACTGAATTATGACTGATGATGCATTTTGAAATAATTAATCTGCACAGATATAAAATTCCACACTTCAATGGATATAAAAAGCAATTTTATGAATTTTCATAAATAAACTTGGTTGTTACAACAAATGAAATCACTTATTGAAACAATTATTTATAGGAAATGTCTAAGTAAATTAGAAAGTATCTTTTTTGTTGAATAAATATGTGTGCTTAGATACAGCTGTATGTGTCATTGGAGTTGCAGGATAAAGTAATATATTAAGGAAAATTTATGTAACCCTGTTATAATACTAGCCGCAATACACCGCAAGGCTAGTGAGAACTTCTTTTTCTTCACCCTGGGGTTTGAGATTAGGAAGGTTGGGATGGATAGACATTTGCTAGTCTTACTCTAGCCATATGTTAGGGTACTCAACAATAAGATTGAAGATTTTTTAAGTATCTGGATAGTTTTTAGTAGGGGTTACATTTTATGCATGACACCAAGTTCAAGTCCTCGAGGAAGCATTGAAATCAATAATGACCTCAGTTACATTGGCGCCCATATAGGGACTCGGGAATCGTACTTAGCTTTACTTTCCCAAACATCACAGAAACCCCTTGGAAACTTGAGGACAAGTTATTTCCTGAAGGGGGAGTATGTAACCCTGGTAAAATACAAGTTGCAATCTACCGCTCAACTAGGAGAACTTCTGTTTAGTTTGATCAGTTGTGCGACAGACTAGTATGCCAGAGGTTCAAGGCTCAAATCCTAGTGGAGACATTGCAACTAATAATAACCTCTGTTACATATAAATAGCAGTCAAACTTAATCCATGAAAATCTGGTTTTGTGCAGTTGCAATTGCCTACCAGATTAACAGTAGTGACAACCTTCAGTCATTCCATTATGCGTCTTTGAGATTTATGTGATGTACATCAAAGGAGAGAAGGAAGATGACAAAATGTTTAGATTTTTACTGGTATTTCATTTTTCCTATGATAATTAAATATGAATTTGATAAATACATAGATCTTGTATGATCACTGTAATAACTGATTGGAATAATTCTTTCTATTCAATTCCTGATCACTGATTTATTTCAACTGCAGGGAATTTGAAGAGGAATTGCAGACATACAATGGAAATGACCCATTTGAAGTGTGGCATAGGTAAATATAAAAGAAATTCCATTCAATGATGTTTTGAATTATTGTCTGACAAAAATAATTACAACAATATGTCCACTTCCACCTTATTCCTATGCATAAATCCTGATAATTTTCACAATTAAATAACATGCTGTCTTTAGAAATAATGAGTGAATGATCAACTATTGTTCATCCATTTCATATCAAGGGCCTGTGCTTTTGAATTTGCAAAACAAGGTGCACTGCATCGTATATATATATCACACAAATTATATGGGTTTTTGGCTCACAGGTTACAAGCGTTACAAGCAAATGTGTTCATGAGCTACTATAAATATGATGGTCCCCCACCCAAAGTCTCAGCATTCTATCTAAAAATTTGTAATGTTTTGGTATAAATTTTTGTAAGACCAATATGCATCCTACACACCATTTACGTGGTATAAACAATCATCAGATGTCTACATATGATACAACAAATAAGTACTGAATTTTTTCTCATTTTTTTGTCTTTTTCTCGAGTCAATTTCTTTCTGCAAAATTGATCATGTTTTAGTCTAAACATCAAAATTTATTTGAAAGTTTATTAATAAGTTTCTAAATAGCTTTTTGTGACATGTATTCAGTTGTATATAGCAGGGTAGAAAGCATTAGCTGCTGCTGGTGAGCTCACCAATCATTGATAGCACTCATAATTACTTATTTTCTATGGAGAAGGTAAATAAAAAATTAGATGAAATGCTCATGGAAAAAAACACTAAAAAAAAACAGAATAAAAAGATAAATAAAATCTCAGAATGTAAAATCTAAATAAACAAACTATATAATTATTATTGTCATTTCAATATTGTAGATATATGCTGCGGATAGAGAAATACAGCCCAGAGAATGAGAAGGAGAGTAACCTTGTTGAACTCTTAGACCGGTGCTTTAGGACATTTAACAATATAGCTCACTACAAAAATGACCAGCGCTATGTCTCAGCATGGATTAAATATGTAAGACCATAAACTCAATTAATGGCAAACTACATGTGTACTTATTTTTTTGAAAAGTAATGCAACATTTGATTGGCTCATGAAAATAATTTATGCCAATATAACCATTATATACCATACCTAAATTCATTGGCATATCTAGCTTAGATGCTTGTTAATGAGGTTATTGAGGTCGGTGATCCTGATTGACCTTGACATGGTTGCCTGATTGACCTTGACATGGTAATGACACCAGAAACAATATCATAACCCCAAATGGTAAATGGTCTGTATCTCCTGATTTTGAATGTTACTGAAGTCACCTATCCTGAGCAAGGTGCCCAGATTTCTAAAATTGTACCAAAACACAGCTAGATTGTCTTGTTTTTGATCATTTAAATCTTTATGAAATATGATCTAGGGATAACCCTACTCAATTATTATCATGTAAAGGGATAAAAATGAAGGAATTGGGCATAGAAGGTTGATGTTTTCTCATGATGCTAATACATTCTTGCCATAGGCTGGCTTCTGCAAGGAACCACTTGAAATATACAGCTACATGCAAAAGCAAGGTATTGGTGTTACATTGGCCATATTCTACGAGGCTTGGGCTAATGCTACAAGGCAGTTAGGGAGTTTCCAAAATGCTGACCTCATCTTACAGGAGGGTATTCGCTGTCAGGCCCAGCCACTCAACCAACTATGCAGAAAAAGAGAGTAAGTGTTGTGTCTTTATAGTAACATAAATATATTGCAGTAGACATGAAAGTCACTTTCACTTTCTATGATTATGTAATAAATGACAAAAACTGGTCTTGTATGAATCTTCTGTAATTTGTAGCTGTAACATCTTTTAACCTTTAGACCAAACTACGTGTGCTAGCAGAATACTCTCTAGTTGTTTAATTTCTAGAGGACAATATTTTTCATTTCATGTTCATGGGAACTACATTCTCTGCTACTCTGCCTTTAGCCATAGATAGGAAGGCATGTCTTTACATTACAGTTTTGTCCAACATCAACATCCGTGACTGCCATCTTGAAATGCTTATTATCCCCTGCCAAATGTGTTTGCCGATTATATTAGTTTGGGCTCCACCCACCTGTGTATCTGTTCATCCAAGGGCTTTTCTGGGCTATAACTTCAAACTGTTCAACTCAACTTCACAAAACCTGCTGTATATATTAAGTTATTGCCCTAGTTGTGTCTTTGGCTATTGACCACATTTTATTTTAATATTTATTTTTGTGCTACCATGGAAACAACAAAAAAAGACAAAATAAGTGTTTTCTTTCCTTTCCAGACTTCAAGTTCATAACCGTTTCGCTCAACTCAACAAATTTTTCTGTACATAATAGGTTAGTGCCCTGGGTGTGCCTTTTGCTATGGACAACATTTAATTTTTTTATATTTTTTATGTTACCATGAAAACATACTCAAAAACCTTAATTAGTGTTAACTTCCTTTTCCGGGCTACAACTTCAAAACCACTCCACTTAACTCCACAAAATTTTCTGTATATATTAGGTTAGTGCCCTAGTTAAATTATTTTTCTGTTACCATGGAAACAAAAAACCCTCATCACAAATTTCAGCTTTTCTAGACCAGTGCTCTAAAACCGTTCAAAGTAATTGCTCAAAAGTTTTTACACTTTTCAAGCTAGCGGTATCTTTTGCTATGGGGAAGTTTACTATTTAAATGCTTTTTCTGTTACCATGGAAAGACCAGTTTTCTCAAACTGTCTACGGTAATTACCTGGTACTCAAAACTTTGTACAGACATCAAGCTAGTACTGTAGTAGAAGTTCTCCATTTTCAATGTGTGGAATAATTAAAAATAGCAAATAGAAATTAAATTTGTTATATTATACATAATCATGTATATGATTGCATCTTTCTTTTAAACATCCAGGTGTGGGGGATAATGTCATGCTTTGCGTTATCTTGTTTTAAATTTCTTCTCAAGTTCAAGTGGTGCTGTTGAGCAGAATATTGTAAGGACATACAGTAGAGGAAAAGCAGGCTGTTGCTGTACTTTTACTATTTACTCTCTATACTTTTCTATAGTGAATGAATCAATATTGGATAGACTTGCTGAATATACCTCTGAAGACATTGATGACATTCTCAATAACAGAGATAGTGCTAACACCAACAATGTCATCCATGTGGACGCGAAACTGTTGGCAGATTATATAGAAGTGAAACACAATGCATAAGCATGGGACTTTTTCACAACGATGTTGTCTTACATCTATATTCATCTTAAATGATTTGTTTTCTTGGACAAAAACAGTAGAAGGTATAATAAAACTTTTGTAGACTTGATTTTCTGTCAACATGGGTTACATTGAACCCTCAGACCAGACTGTTGCCGGAGGCCTTTGGTTCAACACATGTTGATCTCAAACCCAGTCAACAAATGTATGATATTTGATAGTGTGTGTTTTATAGGACGTTACAGAGGAAACAGATACTGGATAGTAAAATACTAGTGTATGTTTTATAGGGAGTTACAGAGAAAACAGATACTGGATAGTAAAATACTTGTGTGTGTTTTATAGGGAGTTACAGAGAAAACAGATACTGGATAGTAAAATACTTGTGTATGTTTTATAGGGAGTTACAGAGAAAACAGATACTGGATAGTAAAATACTTGTGTGTGTTTTATAGGGAGTTACAGAGAAAACAGTTACTGGATAGTAAAATACTAGTGTGTGTTTTATAGGGAGTTACAGAGGAAACAGATACTGGATAGTAAAATACTAGTGTGTGTTTTATAGGGAGTTACAGAGGAAACAGATACTGGATAGTAAAATACTAGTGTATGTTTTATAGGGAGTTACAGAGAAAACAGATACTGGATAGTAAAATACTTGTGTGTGTTTTATAGGGAGTTACAGAGAAAACAGATACTGGATAGTAAAATACTAAAATACTAGTGTGTGTTTTATAGGGAGTTACAGAGGAAACAGATACTGGATAGTAAAATACTAGTGTATATTTTATAGGGAGTTACAGAGGAAACAGATACTGGATAGTAAAATACTAGTGTGTGTTTTATAGGGAGTTACAGAGAAAACAGATACTGGATAGTAAAATACTTGTGTATGTTTTATAGGGAGTTACAGAGGAAACAGATACTGGATAGTAAAATACTAGTGTATGTTTTATAGGGAGTTACAGAGGAAACAGTTAATGGATAGTAAAATACTAGTGTGTGTTTTATAGGGAGTTACAGAGAAAACAGATACTGGATAGTAAAATACTTGTGTATGTTTTATAGGGAGTTACAGAGGAAACAGATACTGGATAGTAAAATACTAGTGTATGTTTTATAGGGAGTTACAGAGGAAACAGTTAATGGATAGTAAAATACTAGTGTGTGTTTTATAGGGAGTTACAGAGGAAACAGATACTGGATAGTAAAATACTAGTGTATGTTTTATAGGGAGTTACAGAGAAAACAGATACTGGATAGTAAAATACTAGTGTATGTTTTATAGGGAGTTACAGAGAAAACAGATACTGGATAGTAAAATACTAGTGTGTGTTTTATAGGGAGTTACAGAGGAAACAGATACTGGATAGTAAAATACTAGTGTATGTTTTATAGGGAGTTACAGAGGAAACAGTTAATGGATAGTAAAATACTAGTGTGTGTTTTATAGGGAGTTACAGAGGAAACAGATACTGGATAGTAAAATACTAGTGTATGTTTTATAGGGAGTTACAGAGGAAACAGATATTGGATAGTAAAATACTAGTGTATGTTTTATAGGGAGTTACAGAGAAAACAGATACTGGATAGTAAAATACTTGTGTGTGTTTTATAGGGAGTTACAGAGGAAACAGATACTGGATAGTAAAATACTAGTGTATATTTTATAGGGAGTTACAGAGGAAACAGATACTGGATAGTAAAATACTAGTGTGTGTTTTATAGGGAGTTACAGAGAAAACAGATATTGGATAGTAAAATACTAGTGTATGTTTTATAGGGAGTTACAGAGAAAACAGATACTGGATAGTAAAATACTAGTGTGTGTTTTATAGGGAGTTACAGAGAAAACAGATATTGGATAGTAAAATACTAGTGTATGTTTTATAGGGAGTTACAGAGGAAACAGTTAATGGATAGTAAAATACTAGTGTGTGTTTTATAGGGAGTTACAGAGGAAACAGATACTGGATAGTAAAATACTAGTGTATGTTTTATAGGGAGTTACAGAGAAAACAGATACTGGATAGTAAAATACTAGTGTATATTTTATAGGGAGTTACAGAGAAAACAGATACTGGATAGTAAAATACTAGTGTGTGTTTTATAGGGAGTTACAGAGAAAACAGATACTGGATAGTAAAATACTTGTGTATGTTTTATAGGGAGTTACAGAGGAAACAGATACTGGATAGTAAAATACTAGTGTATGTTTTATAGGGAGTTACAGAGGAAACAGTTAATGGATAGTAAAATACTAGTGTGTGTTTTATAGGGAGTTACAGAGAAAACAGATACTGGATAGTAAAATACTTGTGTATGTTTTATAGGGAGTTACAGAGGAAACAGATACTGGATAGTAAAATACTTGTGTGTGTTTTATAGGGAGTTACAGAGGAAACAGTTAATGGATAGTAAAATACTAGTGTGTGTTTTATAGGGAGTTACAGAGGAAACAGATACTGGATAGTAAAATACTAGTGTATGTTTTATAGGGAGTTACAGAGGAAACAGATACTGGATAGTAAAATACTAGTGTATGTTTTATAGGGAGTTACAGAGGAAACAGTTAATGGATAGTAAAATACTAGTGTGTGTTTTATAGGGAGTTACAGAGGAAACAGATACTGGATAGTAAAATACTAGTGTATGTTTTATAGGGAGTTACAGAGAAAACAGATACTGGATAGTAAAATACTAGTGTATATTTTATAGGGAGTTACAGAGAAAACAGATACTGGATAGTAAAATACTTGTGTTTGTTTTATAGGGAGTTACAGAGGAAACAGATACTGGATAGTAAAATACTAGTGTATGTTTTATAGGGAGTTACAGAGGAAACAGTTAATGGATAGTAAAATACTAGTGTGTGTTTTATAGGGAGTTACAGAGGAAACAGATACTGGATAGTAAAATACTAGTGTGTGTTTTATAGGGAGTTACAGAGGAAACAGATATTGGATAGTAAAATACTAGTGTATGTTTTATAGGGAGTTACAGAGAAAACAGATACTGGATAGTAAAATACTAGTGTGTGTTTTATAGGGAGTTACAGAGAAAACAGATACTGGATAGTAAAATACTAGTGTATATTTTATAGGGAGTTACAGAGAAAACAGATACTGGATAGTAAAATACTTGTGTGTGTTTTATAGGGAGTTACAGAGAAAACAGATATTGGATAGTAAAATACTAGTGTATGTTTTATAGGGAGTTACAGAGAAAACAGATACTGGATAGTAAAATACTAGTGTGTGTTTTATAGGGAGTTACAGAGAAAACAGATATTGGATAGTAAAATACTAGTGTATGTTTTATAGGGAGTTACAGAGAAAACAGATACTGGATAGTAAAATACTTGTGTGTGTTTTATAGGGAGTTACAGAGAAAACAGTTACTGGATAGTAAAGCTGCCGGTCCCAGGGTTGGATACTCAAAACTGTGTAAGTAGAGGTAAAGAAATGATGTTTTATCAGCTTGATAATAATAATTTCTCAACAGAAAGTTAAATTTTGTTTTCGTAAAGTTACATAACGCATGTATTTCCTAAAGGAGAAAGATTGAAGAAAGCTTTTTCAAAGATGATAACAAATAGAAATATTTCATTCACTCTGCAATTGTTGGATGGTCTCCACATCCTTATGAGGAGTTTCTTCATTTCAGGCAAGTTACAGTACACTAAAAATAGAAAGTTTATTAAGATAATTTTTTCTTTGTGTTAGCCTCTAAAGATGGACATATTCAGGTGTTTAATGACGAGAATGTAAATCCCAATATGCCTGCTCAAGCCAAAGGTCAGATTCAGAAGTATAATGATGAAAATGTGAACTCCAATCTTGCTCCAAAAGTTCAGATGATCAGCAATGAGAATTTGAAGCCCAGTCTGCCTTCACAGGTGCACAATGATGAAAATGTCAACCCCAACAATTCTTCACAGGTACATAGTTGAGACATGTGAATCTTATCATTGTCAGTGATTAATAACTTAATTACACATTACATTGTATGTAAGAAAACTTGGCAGCAAAAAAATCTTTGAAAAGTTCTTTTAAATACCAAGTAGAAATAAATACAATTGAAAGGAATTTTTAGGAGAATTTATTGTATTTAGAAGTTTCATCCTCTAGGTATTTATAACATGTTTGACAACTAATTTATCCTTTGTGCTATCAATTGTGTGGGGATGAGGTGGGGAGGTAGTTATATTTTATATGCCCCTTCATTTTATAAGGTCATGGAGGGGGAAGGGAGTGGGATTTGTATACAGTGTTAATCATGTTTGTCCCATCTTGTCAAGCCTTATCCCATTCAGAATCAATGTTGTCTTATCTTGAGAACTTCTTAACAGATTTTGTATCATAAAATCAATTATTAGACCTTTTCTGATCAAAGAGGTCATCAGTCAAGGTTAATGAGTCAAATGTCACATTTGAGGACTGTTACAAATTCAGCTAACAAGGACTCTTATTTACATGGGAGCGAGAGTATTTTTTCTTACAGACATTTTCTAGTTTCAATGAGAATATATATCATTTGTTATTAAATTGTTAACTGTATACCTAAATGTAAAACACCTTGTCAGTAACTGTCACTTTATGGTGTTGATATGGAAATTTGTTATCTTGTTTGAATATTTTCAGTAGTATAATTTCAGTATATAGAGAGAAATAATAATCTTGGAATGCAGATGTCTTGGGTTAGTACAGGAAATCTATTTTATCTAAGTTTAGACCTGGAAAAAATAATGGAGAAAATGTTGGAAAATTTCTTGAAAAATCCTATATACACTATGATAATTATGACTTAAATATTTGTTATCATTAGTTTAACCATGGATGTTAAGTTTAGCATCCAATTCGAATTCAAATTACCATCTTTTGTATATCCATACCTCCAAGTTTGATCAATAAAAAAATCCTATACTCAAAACCTTCATATGTTTTTTGTGATTATGTCCTATGTATCCAAGTCAATTTCTAACATCGCTCTTATTTAATCAGAGAGTCATGTACTGCAAGGAGAAGCTACTTATGGGTGTAGAAGAGCTGTCTTTTGAAGAGCTTCATGCCAGACATTGGTGGGCCAAACGTAAAAGGGAGAAGGAGATACAGGCCTTTATTGACGAGGAGAAACGTGGTTTAGAAGAGGAGAAAAGACAATTCATGGGTAAATTGATATATGGCTGCTGTTAATAGGAACTGGCTTTCTTATTGTTCTTGATACCATTGAGGCATTTTCCTGTTTCTGAGAAATTTTTTCTGTATTTACCAGATTGGGAATCATATATAGCTCAAGGATTGACAAAAGACCCAATATTTGAATAATCCCATTTCTGCATGCTATATACTCCTATCCTGAATAACTGGAATACATCAGCCAAATTTATTGTGTCAACATAATATACACAAAATTAGTTCACTGTGACTTCATATTTATACTTCACTGACTTAGAGAATTTTCTGGTTGACATATCTATATTTTTTTATCTATCTTTTGAAAATAATGCAACTCACAAACAACTTTTGGGTCTGTCCACAACTGTTTTCTGAACGTCTATGGTTTTTGGGAATATGTGAGAGTCAAAATGGGGCTGCAGAGATGTAATCCTGAAGAATTCATCTTCTTTTATCTTAATTGCCACATGTTTTCAAGTTTTATGAAATTTTCAAGTTGCCATGATTTAAGACAAGCATCTATTTGATAGAGGAGATGGAGAAAAATCGTGCCATGTTAGTACAGGAGGCTGAAAAAATTAAACAAGAACGTGACCGATTACGACAAGAACAGGAAGCGATGCGCCTCCAATGTCAGCAGCAAATGCAACAAGTGCAAGCTAAAATGGAGAGGTACATAAGATGTTTTTACAGCTCACGTAGCCCGATGGGCCAAGTGGGTTATAGGGATACCATGGCTTGTCATCTGTCAGCTCTTCTATAAATTGAAACTAGCCATAAGTGACGGAACATATTTTAATGAAATTTGATCTGAAGCATCCTTGGGGGAAGAGGAACCATTCTTGTATAAACAAGGGTTCAGAGCCTCTTTGAGCTTAAAGGACAGGGCCCAATAGGGAAAATCTATCTTGTTCTTCAGGAATTGCAGGATATTGTCCAAATTTGTTAGTTTTTAACAAATTGTATAAGATGTAATATACACAAATACAATCCTTATCAAAGTTCAGCAGATATGCATTTTATATCATAAATTATGTCTGTATGAAGAATACCATTTTATGAAGTAAAAAATTGAAAACTTCATTTTCAAAATTGATTTGTCTTTCATGGAATCTCGGCAGGTTGGCAGTTGTTAATGAAAGTTGTAACCTCTCAGATATATAATGGGTAGGTAAATAATAGTTTTGTTTTACATCAGTATCACCCCAGTCATAAAGTTTGTATTTGTCAACAGAGTGAATCAACAGCAGCAACAGCAGCAGCAACAACAACAACAACAGCAGCAGCAGCAGCAACAACAACAACAACAACAGCAACAATTGGTTATGGAGATGGAAGTAGAACATAGACTTGCAAATCAGCTAACCATCAGTGATGCTCCTAACCAACAAATATCAGGGTTTAGGACCAGGTAAGACTAATGCTATGACTATACTTATTATAACAAGTGTAATACCAATGCATGCTGTCTGAACTGCTTAAAACCAGATAAGAACTGTGACCCAACAAATGGTCATGAACTATTTATTTTCTCAATATCAGACCAGTTTGTGAGAAAGTTAACCATCATGAACATGTTTACTTAAGAAATACCAAAGTTAAAGAATGTAAGATTTGGTAATCCATGTCACTGTGAAATAGTATAGAAGAGTAAAACCATGAAAATTAAAAGGCCTGAAAAGAAACTGGTTTACAAAGGGGCCATACACTTTCCTATTGCATTACTTTCCATCTTGTTTGCAATTGCATGATGTTTAGTTTATGGAGGGAAATATTTTATTTCATTCATACTTTCTTATTAATACATGTTAGACTTTAATAAGTTTCCATCTCTCCTTTAAAACAAAATCTTTCCTTGCTTTGTCATTAGAGAGAGTGGAGCGATGAAACATCTTAACTTTGGAGGTAATAATTCTGCAAGATCAGACCTGATATCTCAGGGATCGGCCACTGGAGACCAGACTGAAGACTTTGGTTTGCGTCCGATCACATCACAGTCATTTGGTTCAGGTGACAAGAGGGAAGGAGTTTTGAATCCCAGTTCTAGAAACACACCTGTGGACCACAGTCTCAGCACACCCAATGACAGTCAGACCTCTCTCCGGCAGTTCTCAAGTGGCAGGCCGGTATGTCTCTTGCCTCATCTATGATGTAGAAGTACTGGTATAAGTCAATCTTACCTTCTTTCGTCTCAAATATATGTATATCTGGAATAGTTACAGAACTTTCCGAGTGTTTATATTGAACACAATATTGCATTGCTAGATTAGAACTCCTGTGGAAATTGATTCATGTCACAGGTATGTAGCATGACACCTTAAAACCTATTTTGATTGTTTTTAAGAGTTTGACAGCACCCTCCCCAACTGTTAATACAAAGGAAGCTCTACAGCTGGTACAGGGATTTTTTAATGCCTCACTGGACCTGGAGAAAGACCTTGGCTGGGGCGGGGATGTAGAGGTCCCACAAAAGAATGACAATCAGAATGATGGTGCGTTATCTAGAGGTACTTGTGAATTATAAAATGAAATTTGATGTGTTTCTAAATATTTAAAAATTGCTTTTAAGTAAAAGTGCCAATTTGGGACAGTCTCTGGCCAATCTGTGATTATTCTTATTTTTAACCGGCAGGTACTGAACATTAGAATTTGAGTGGTGAGTGGAATAATAGAATATTTGGTGGGGGAGGGTTGTCAAAGTAGGGTGGTGTAGATGAAAATTTTGTTGTTTATGTTCTGTCTTATGTTGAAATTGAGGTAAGAATTATGGTGTTTGTTTTTCCTGCATTTAATTGATGTATAAGAAGAAATGAAAAGCAGTAAATTACTTTGATAAAGTAGTGACAGTCACCTTATTTTTGACAGGTCTATGTCGATATGCTTTAAGATTCCTGAAAGCTTTCATTTACCAAGTCGTAAATAACATGACAACAAAGATTACCACAACATGGAGATCGTGTAAGTCAAAAGGGTCAAAGATTTCAATTTCAGTTTAGGTCCACTTCTTCAAATTTAAAATTAATTGTCTAGATTCTCATTTATTTACTAATCATTTCAGTTCAACCAGTAGAGCCACCAAAAGCAAGTGGAGGTTTAATGTTTGCTATCTATGATGAAACTCAAGAGAAGGAAAATGCATCTGCTGCAGTCCGCAAGAATATAGATCATGTGGACAAAGAGAACTGGTGAGTTGACAGTCACTTCCAAGTTCTATTCATTCTCTCATGGTCTCATGGATATCAATCTCTATTTACAGTTAACACAGTAATAAATGAGACACACACTCTCAATACCAAACATTACTCTTTTAGAATGGAGTTATATAGGAAGTTATTAATCAAATATTGTGTTGGAATAATGTTAATTTTCAAATATGAACTTTGCAGAAGTAAAGGATATTTTCCTTCAGGATCAGAATGTACATTGGCGGAGGGTGTTGATTTGGGCTTTGTCTGTGCATGGGCATTTTTCTGACCAGAGCTCTGAAACTGTTTAAGTTGACTTCTCAAAACTTTGTACAGTTATCAAGAAAACTACCTGAAACTTTGTTCAGTAATCTTGTCAATCCAGTGGTGTAACTTTGTATAAGCTAGAACTCTCTTGTTGCAGTTTTAATAATTTTGGATATTTTAATTTCCAGCCATGAAATGGGGGTGAAGTGGGATTTATAGTAAAACCCTCATTTGTCAGTCTGGATCATCCTTTTATATGCCCTGAATTTTTTTTCCATTTTTTTTTTTTTTTTTTTTGTTCTGTTTGGAGATAATGACTTTAAGTCTGATGTATGGATTTTTAACTACTGGGTTACAGCTGAAGTTCAAATCCCTTTCAATGAAGCTAATTTGAGATGGATTGATGGCGTTTTGTACGTAGAATATTTTGCAAGATTGCAGTTTGCTCAAATTTTATCCCATATGTTTGGATATAATAACTTCAATTTTAATGTGTGGCTTCAAACAAGAGGGTTACAAATCAAGTTTGAATCCCAGCCAAAATATCCTTATTAAGGTGGAGTTTTGCATATTTTACAAAATGGTTTTTTTTCAGACTTTTTCCCATTATGTTGAGAGATGATGACTTCATATTTGGTGCGTTTTCAGACTTTTGTTAAGTTGCCCTACAGGGATTCTGATTGAGTTTGAAACCTAATCGATAAAGTCCAAGAATATAGTTATGGACCATTACACTTGGAATACTGCAAAATAGTAGTTTTCAAGACTTTTTAACTCACTCAGCAGGAGTTTGATCTGAAGCATCCCAGGTGGAAAAGTATTCAATTTTGTGTAAATGGTGGGTCTAACCCCCCCTTAAGAGCCTGGAGGGGAGGGGATGAGAGGGGGAGCAGGATGCAGGGCCCAAAGTGGGAAATCTAGCAAATTCTTCAAGATTCTTCTTAATTTGTAGGAATGCCTTGATTCTGCCCAAGTCTGAAGCATACTTGGATGAAGGGGAAGTAATTTTGTATAAACATATGGGTATCAAATCTCTCTGGCCAAAGAGGCTTGGTTCATCAGAGAAAATGCAGCAAATTCTTTTTAATTCTTTTTCCTCTATAGGCATGTTTGGATTTTGTCCCAATTCGGTCTGAAGCATCCTTGGGTGGAAACAGTGGGATCCAATAGGAAAAATGAGGCCAATTCTCTTATATTCTTCGTTAGGAATGCCTGGATTTTGTTCTAATGTGGTTTGAATCATCTTATTGTGATTATCAGCCCTGTGGGGTTTGAAGGAGGAAAGGAAGTACATTCCATAAAACCCTTTCTTAGGAATGCCCAGATTCTGTGCTAATTAACTGAATACTAGAAACCAAAAAAAAGCAATCAAACATTACTTGTCAGTAAAGTTTGTTGTTTATTTGAAAGATCAGTCATGGTCAGTAAGTAAATTATTTTCATTTGAATAAATTTACATTTACTCTGTTGGCAGTGGACTACCCCAGATACCAAGGCAAAATCTTGTTTGCAGTGTCAAACCACTGACACAAAAGTCAAGACCACCTTCTCTGCCAAAGAAAATGGAGTTCTCAGTGGTATGTGAACCTCTGCTTTATAAACAAAACATTTTCTACAAAAAAGGGAAATATGTTGTGTATTTGTAATGTGATATGTGCTATAAATCGTTAGTAGGGTGGTTGGTTTCAAAGGTAGTTGCAACAAAGTATATGCAAATATTAGTTAATTTTTTATTGAGGATCATAAACATGAAAGTTGCGCAGTTATTTGCATGGTCCAAAGATAAATGCATTCCTAACACTGTAAAAATTATTATTTTAAAACTGAAAATGTCATCAAGACAGAATTATATTCTGTTACATACAAAATTTTAAATGTGATTTCAGATTAAATTATATCATTTTGGCTTCTAACTAAAAATTTGAATTGTTTTAAAAGAATCTTCAAAACAGTTTCTTGTTCTTACTATGAATAGTTACAGGATGGTGACACTCAGATGGAAGGTATAGAGTCACAGGCAATGGATGACTGTACTATTGCACCTGTCGGCTCTCACCTCAGTTTTGCCGCTGCAGCCCACATTGCTTCAACGCCATTCAACGCCAACAACTCTCATGGACCACAGACTACGTTCACTCTTGACCTTGAGGAGGAGGTCAACAAGAAAAGTGAGAAGGAAGAAAAAAGTGCTCACGAATCTGTAGGCACTACATACCAAGATGCTGCTATGCAACCAAATAACCTCAGGTAGAACAGAATTTTGGAATTAGCATAAAAACAGGTGTAATGTGTGCATCAACACAATTTGGGCAGGTGCTTTTTGGGATTGAAAAAGTTTAAAATATGCTTTTAATTACATAATTGGCACATCACAAAATATCCTTCTGTAGCTAAGAAATTGGTTACAGAATATTCTAACATGTTAATTTTGTTTATGGGTATTATTTACACACAGTACAGTGAGCGGTAGTTTACCCTGTGGATGCCTCAATATTATACACACACTCATCCTGTATGAAAAGTATTTTGATTGATTAGGCTTTAATTCCTTGATCCACATGAGTTGGGGATTGTAAAACCTCTGTCAGAGTCGGTAAACTCGGTGTAAAACAAGAAAGCGTGTGTTGGACACCAGAAAAGTCAGTTTAGGTTGTTGCGGTGATATATCACTATAAACAGATAGATATTTTGACTCCAACAGATCTGGTCAGATTTAATGGAATGTCAGTCAAGTCAGTGGTCTATAGAATCGTTTCACAATATTTATGTTAAGAATTCTAATGCTAAACTTACTCAAAAGTCTGTGAAGAAACAGTTTGGAAGGTAGACAGCAAAGAAATACACCACTAGTCATCAAAAAGAATTAAAAGATATTACAAAAACTAAAATTTGTGATATATTTGGAAATAAACAATAAAAATATGGCTGCCTTAATGTAGATGTTTAAAAATATGAAAGGCACTTGGTACAGATGAAAATTGTAAATTATGGGTGCTTATGGTTCATACAGATATGAAAAGTCCTTGAATTGCAACATGTTTCTGGGAAAATCCTGAATTTGTTGTTGTGTCTGGAATTTGGCATTCATGCATTGAAAAGTTTTTTTTTTCAAATAAGAAACAAAATATAATACTTATCTTCAAATATTCATAAAATCAAATTTCCAGAACTTTACAGTGACATTTTGAGCTATATTCTTGGTACAGCTAAAAAAAACTGACAGAATATAGTGGAAACAATTACAAATTATAAACTGAACAAGAATACTTTGATCTCTGTAATTGAAAAAGTCTTGGAAAAGCCAAAAAGTCTTGAAGTTAAATGTCTGAAAGTCCTTGAAGGATCATAAAAAATACAAACTTAAGGGGTGATTAGGTCTTTGGAAAAAGTGCCATGCTAGGAAATAATGGATGTCTTTTTCTGTTTCTTCCTAACACTTTAACTTTGTATTGTTTTAAAATAAAAGGATGAAATTATGTTGTATCTTATAAATAATCCTCATATTCATATAGCCCAATTATGGAGGGAAGTAATGAGGAATCTTCAGGTCATCAGACAGGCATGTCTGTGGGTGGGGACAGTGTGTTTCATAGTTCCCGGGGCCGTCATCCCTCTACCGACCAGAAACCAGACTGTCATTATCCCACCGACCTAGACAACCACAACGATTCTGTTCATCTGATTGACACCTCTGGTTATGTACCACTTGATCTGGATGAAAAGACTGAGGCACTGTTGTCCATGTCAATACGTATTGACCCCCACAATCCATTTGACTCGGACACCATCAGAGAGTTTCTCACCAACTTACCCAAGCCTCTGACTCTATACCCTAACTACGTTGACTGCCATGATGAGACCATGCAGACAGTTACAGCAGAGACTATTGTCAGTTTTGGTAAGTTTCTTTCTACTTAGCAAAAAATGTGAATATCAGAGCGCTGGTAGTGTCAGTTATCCTGTTTTATAAGCCCATCAAAAATTTTGTTGTTTGTCCATAGTAAACTTTTATGCCTTATCATTAAGAGCAAAAAAGAAGTGAAGAGAAAATAAGGGCAAAGATCTAACTTTCAAAGAGCAAATAAAGATCAAACAATGGTGTGTGCCAAGATCCTTCCGGGATCTCTTGTTTCAGTCTAAATATCTTGTCTAGAGATTCTCTTCTTAGATTTTAATTCATCTCTCTCAAACTGGTAGGTTTGATTTCTTTCACATGTTTACTAGAACATCACTTATTTTTGATTCAACATTTTTTTTTTTTATTAATGATGTTTGATTTTTCATAATTTTTGTCTTGTTTGCAAATGTTCTCCCTCAATTTTAATTGATTTCTTTGAAACTCTTAGCATTATCACCATGCTATGAAACTGTGTTTCATTTCCACATCTATTGTTTGTATTCATTTCTATACTATAATGTATTTCTCTTTGGCAACAAGTAATCATGGATTGTACCTCTCTGAAAAAGTAACCTGAATGTGATTATTTTCCTCTGGTGTTAGCTCATGTTACAGTGTTGGTAAGGAGGTTTAAGTCATGAAAAGTACATATTTTCCTCCAAATGTTATAATCATTTTCTTTAAACTATTAGTCTGGAATGAATGAAGAAACAAAAAATTTGTTTTGATGTCTACCAAATTAGTATGCATTCCAAAAATATCAACCTGATTTAGTTATGCTTATGGTTAATGTCATTTCTGATCTCCCTCTGTCTGTCATCAACAGGTGGCGACCCTTATACAGTGGAATCCCTGGTAGGAAAGGGAGGCTATGCCAGTGTCTACAAAGCCTCCTACATTGACCTTGCCTGTGAAGGGCCAAATGGTGTCGGTCAAGATGAGTTATTTGCAATGAAGGTTAATTTTTTTGCTTTCTTTTCCTGCATTTGGACTCACAGCACTCTGTAACTTGATAAGAAAGTTATTATTTCTTATTTCATGTAATATATATCTTTTTCAAAACACGAAAATAAAAATGTCAATGTGAAGATATTGATATATTTACTCCATACATTGAAATTCCTGATTCAAACTGAAAGTGCTGAATATGGTACTTGTTTACGTACTTGATACTTTCTTATTTTGATATGACAAGAAATATATTGAAGCAGTTTATCTCCCTTCCTTTTTACTGGATACCATGTAATGCAACAACATTTAAACACAGCTACTGGTTTTGCTGTCAAAAAGTATCTTGATATATAGTTCAACTTGGAGGACTTGCATTTAAAATAGAGATTCTTCTCAATGATCATGGATGATTGGATTTCTGAAAATATGAACCATGCCTCAAGATTCAATCTGAGCATATAGTTAGTGTAAAATTTGACCTGAACAGATACAGAAACCAGGGAACCCTTGGGAATTCTACATATGTTCTGTGATACCTGAAAGGCTGAGAAATCTCCAGGCACCAGTTGATGTGGTGAGTCAATTTGTATCAACTCTTAACGTCTAAATAAGGTCTTTCATTACGAAATACCAAGCTTAATGAAAAAAAATGTGAAAAAATGATCATGTTGTTTAGAAATGTGGAGGTAATGACTATGTGATCCAGTATTTGCTATAAGGTCTACACCAGTAAAATGCCTATTCCATCCCAGGACCCAAGGTTTTGTTTATGAGCACAACTGTTGAATTGTAATTTGTAAATAATAGGTAGGAAACTGAACCAAAAGAAGGTTCATCATCATGGTATCTTGGACAAGTTCAGTAATCGTAATTTTCAAGCCAAAATCCATGGAGTTATGGCCCCATATTCAATTCAAAAGTGTGTCCACTCGATATCAAGAGTAGTTTTCAACAGATCAATTTTAAACTTCATAGAAAAGTTCAGTAATATGACAGCTCAGACAGACCTGATAATTGTAATTTATGGATCATGATTTATTGAGTTATGACACTTATTCAGTTACCAAAACAGTGTCTGCTCAATATCGCAAATAGTAATCAACAGATCAATTTCAATGGTATAGGAAGGTTCAAATTCATTACAGTGATGGCTAGCACAATATCGATGACTGCAATTTTTTAACCAGAATTTACGGAATTATAGCCCTTTATTTAATTACAGAACTAGTGTCCGTTTAATATCAAAGGAAGTTTTTAAAGGATCAGCTACTTTTTTTATTTAATTTATTTATCAATTAATGTCATTTGTAAAATTGATGGAACAATATTTTTCACGGATCATCTTGGAATGTCATCGCCATTGACACATGGTGGTTTACTCTGGATTCCTGCGTCATAACACAACTGGCACTGTCTGTAAATGATCTTAATGTGTTGATCAGACATTTAACATCACTTTCCTTCCCTTTCCTGGTGCAAAATGCTCAATCGGCCTAGAACAGATATATCATTTACTGCCTGGCACAGCTCATGTTTTTATTAAATTAATGTTTACTCTTAATCCATAACCATGAAATAAGGAACAGATAAAAATCAACATGTTTTATAATACTAGTGAATTTTATGAGGAAGATTTATCCATGAAATTAGTCCATCTCTGCATATTTTATTGGGTAAAATTTGATTAAGTTACTTTCATTTTAATGTTAGCTATACTTACATCACAAAATAAACACAAAAATCACATCTGTCACCTTATTGTTTTTACTACCAAGGTCATGCATATAGATACATGTGAACTACTGATCCAGATTTTGACATTTTGAGGAATTAGATATTTTGTTTGGTTAATTCCCTTTAAAAGACATAATAAATATATACATATCACATATATATCATTGAAATACACAATACAATGCATGACGTAATGTAACTTTTAGTTACAGTGAATGAACAATACAAATTGCTGTTATTCAAAGATGATATCTGTACTTACATACAACTCAACAAGTTTTTATTTGTGTGGTGGATGTATTATGGTATATATAATAATAATATTTAGACATGACACTGGCTACCAGATACTTAAATAGCAAACAAACAAATGAAATTATTGGATAGTGTTAGAAAGGCATCTTATTCATCAGTTTGTGGTGCTCTTGTTACATCTTTCTAGCAGTGGTTTTATAAAAAAGATTACAGAGAAATGCATAAGATAATTAAGCCTTTGTTTATTTTTCAGTCACAAGCAATGATGTCAGTCCAGAAAGGTTACTTCTTCCATGACTCCAGCTGTTTGATCACAAAGTACTTTGAGCTTGGCACCCTCCTGGTTAGTGCCCAAGTCTATTATTTAATGTAATTCGTAACAATACTCGTTATTTTTTTGTATCCATTAAAGCATCGTTCAGAATCAGCCTTCCATCTTTAATATCTGGCATAATAACTAACAATACTTTGTATTTTGGCATCCTTAAAAGAATGGTACATAATCGGCCATCTTGCTTTGTTTAAGGATCTTGTCAACTTGGTGAAGAGAGAGAAACAGCAGGTACCAGAATCGGTGGCAATGTACTGCACCATTGAGTTGATACGTGTTGTAGAGAGTTTACAGAGATGTGAGATCATACATGGAGACATCAAGCCAGACAACTTCCTTGTCCAGGGACTGTAAGTAAAGACAGTAGATTCAGAATATCAGTTCCATTTACAGCCAGACAACTTCCTTGTCCAGGGACTGCAGATAAAGCCAGTGGATTCAGGATGTGGTGTCTGTTTATAACCAACTTCTCCTCATTCAGGGCTTGTAAAGTCATTAAATTTTGAATACGCCTGTTCAAATTGCATTTTGTCTTGATACATTTTCTGTCATCTATCATTTGTCATCCATCTGCCAGTCCTTAAGCAATTCTTGTTATTTTTATTTCTGAAGAAGTACTCAGTTGATCCTTTTCAGATGTCATGCATTCAGATGCCTTGGTCCCTAGTTTTGTCTTATTTTCAGACTTGTCTGATAAACATGGCAAACAGGTGACCATCTTCAAATTCGGCAGTTTGGTTTGTTATTACTGATATTAGAGAAGCACTTGATGAATCATTCTCAGATTTCATAGATAGGACCCCTTGGTCCCCTTGTATCCTTGTGATTTTGGGACTGGTCAAAAAACATAATGGCTGATGGGCAGCAATGTTGGATTGTTAATGTGAAAGTTTGTTATTGCTATTCCATCAGAAATTCTTGATAGATCTTTCTCCAATTTCATATGTAGGTTTCCATTGGCCCCAAGTTGTGCCCTTTCAATTTAGAGTCTGCTGGGAGAAAAATGGCAGACAGATGGCCATCTTGGATTTTGAAATGTTTCGTGTTTTTTTGTTGGTTCAAAGGTGTATGCTGTACACTTGTGATTTTACAAATTCATTGTGAAAAAATACTTCAAAAACCATCTTTGTGATTTTCTACAGAGAAAGCTTACCTGTAAGTTCGGATCCAAATGTTGTGTTTGGAGGCCATCATCGTCCCTTTCAACTCATTGACTTTGGACAGAGTATTGATATGACTAAGTACCCACCTGGCACTACCTTCATGGCTCAGGTGAAAACTTCAGGCTTCCAGTGTATAGAGATGAAAACCAACATGCCATGGACATATCAGGTAATCTCACTGTTGGGTTATAATACAGGATGCTACATAGTGTAAAATGGTATATTTTTCTCACTTCCGTATGATCTGGAACAGTGTTAAAATCAATTTTAGGGTTGGTTATCTGATTTCTTGTCTAATGGTAAAACTATGAGTAGGTTAGGCCAGTATTTCCACTGAAAGGGATTGGATTTGTTGTTATTGTGTGAGATATTAAAACTGTAACATCTCCTTTCAGACTGATATGTTTGGTCTTGCTGGAACCATACACGTGCTGGTGTTTGGACAGTACATGAAAGTGTACAAAGCAAATGATGAGTGGAGGATAAACAGTTCCTTTAATAGGTCGGTGTGATCATATATCTCAAAGCTAGGTTTTGTCGTCTGTATGTTGACCTCTCAATTTTTTATACATGTAATATTAAAGGAGGGCATTTTGTCAAGGTGTTATCACATAGTGAGGCAAATTTAAGGCAATATATAACAATTTATTAAAATGATATTTTCTAGTATTATTCATATAGAAAGTTTAGTGATAAACTTGTTGTCTTGTATCAACATGTTACTGTATTACTATACAATCAGTGATTAATTCAGAAAACACGGACAATTTTCTTCTCTTACATTGCCTTAAAAACAGGTCACAAAATAACAATTGAGAAAAAGTGGGGGGAAAGTTTGTCTGATAGTTTAATTTTTCTCTCTCTACAGGAGCTGGAATAGCTTGTGGAAAAACTTTTTCCACACAATGCTAAACATACCAAGCAGTTACGAGTTGCCTGACCTTGGCAAGATTCGGCGGCAGTTTGAGTTACATTTTATTGAGAACCTGCTGGAGAATTTCAACAACCATCAGAGTAAACTACGCTTCCTTATGATGAAGCAACTTATCTAGAATGACTCTTAACTGCATCAGACAGGAAATTTGATTCATGAAAAAAACAGAAATATCTGAGGACATTTGATAGAATTCTTAAATGCAAAAATATTGCAGCTTTTTCAGTGTGATCTATTTTTCTGATATTTAAACTGAATTACAGTAGGTATATTGGGTGTAACAGATTAAATCTACGAAATAATCAATCCTTTTGATTTACAATAAGCATTTAAAAGGATGAAAGGTAATGGTAGTGCTAGAGCAACAATACAGATACAATAAAATGCCTTTTTGTTTATAAATAAATGACCCAATTTTTGTTTCATAAGAAACAATAATACTTATACTGCAGTGCACTGTAATGGTTTTATGTTAAAATATCTTCTCGTAGATAATGTAGTGTAAAAGAATTTATGAAATATCGCAGTAGATTATAACTTTAACCTCTGACAATGTGATAATAGGAGTTCATGCACGAGGTTGTTCTCTTTATACTTTAATGATTCATGGTGGAGTTGTTTTTATTATTGATAGATGATATAATGCAGGTTGCAGATTAACAGGATGCTGATTATCTTGGATGACTGCATGAAAATAATTAACCATCTCTGACAGATATACATATATCACAGATTTTTTTCACTGACTCACAAATTTTACATATTCATGAAGATTCTTTTGAATCCATTTATTTCCAAATAAATAGTATTCATATATTTGATGTTAGATACAATGAAATTATGATAGTGAGATACATCTTATATGTAAAAGGATTTTAACAAGTTTTTTGTTTTATTTTTTCTTATTTTTGTTTCATTTGAAGTATGATCTGTAAAATAATTTGAATGAAATTTTATTAGGTTAGAAGCTATAAATACAAATGCTACTGTAATGCTACAGACATAGTAAGGAATTATTTCAGTAATGGTACGTAGTACTATGGAAGTAGTATGTTAGTGCTCCGAAAATGGTATGTAAGTACTATGGAAGTAGTATGTTGGTGCTCCGAAAATGGTATGTAAGTACTATGGAAGTAGTATGTTGGTGCTCCGAAAATGGTATGTAAGTACTATGGAAGTAGTATGTTAGTGCTACGAAAATGGTATGTAAGTACTATGGAAGTAGAATGTTAGTGCTACGAAAATGGTATGTAAGTACTATGGAAGTAGTATGGAAATGTTTACAGGTCTGAACAAAGATATATTTATAGTGTATCTAAGCCACACAAGAAATTCCACTGTAAGATCATGAATCAAATGCATGATTCATATTGTTCAATTTTTTTTTCTATAAAAGTTCTTCGAAGTCTCCTCTTTTATGAAAACATATTTACAAACATTAGTCTGTTTTGCAATTAAGTGGCCTCACTTGATCAATGTTTTGACAAACATTGTCTATTAGTTTAAGGCCTTTGAGATTCAAAGTAGTACATCAATGTCTTGTTCCCTATTAGTTTTCTTGAGTTGATTTAGTTACAGGTTTTTTGTACGATTCAAGGGCATGTCTGTTGTTCTGTTGTTTAGTTGTCAACAACTTACTAGGTTGTGTTAACATTGTGCATATGCATTGCTGTTGAAATGTCTGTGTGGTCAATGTGGTGTGCTAAAGCCCAGTGCTCTTTTTATTTCCTGTTCATAGGGATGCTGTGTAGTAAATGGCATCTGTACAAGGGCAAATCTTTATAGAAAATGCCCAATTCAATGCTGACATCATCCCCAAGGCATTCAGTAAAACACTTGAGAGTAGGTTTTGAGTCCAAAAAAGTAAGTTTGGATTCTTGGGTTTGAAGGCAAAGATCTATTTCATATTTGTTTTGACCCTTCAGATTTATAATTTGACTTCTATAATTGCGAAAAAAAAGTCCAGGGTCAACTTAATGCCCTGACCCTAGTGTCTTGATTTTTATAGGGATTTTTATCAAACCTCGTGCAACAAAATAACAAAATCATGAGAATACCTTGAACAGGCTTGTGCTTCAAGGTCACTGATAATGTTTCTGAAAACCTGTCAAAGATGCTGAATCAGACATTCTTATTCACTGTTTGTTTTGTTTTTTTTATTAATTGATTGATATTGAGACATATGTTTCCTAATTTTACCTATGTAAGAGATACTCCTGTTTTGTCACTGTTTCACACAGCATTCACTAGACATTGTTAATTCATAATTTATGGATCAGTTTCAGATTAATGTTTTTATATCAGTGTTTCATCAAAACTATTATATCAAGAAGTCAGGTGGGCCATAGAGTGGCATGATGTTTTTATATATATTTGTATTAGTGTATTTTAGGTGTAGGTTCAACTATCTGCAACCACAACAATGGAGACAACATTCAAAGAAATCTCTGTTTTTTGTCCTTTTTATTTAAAGTAATTATCATAAAAGCCATCATAAATGTAACTTGAATAGTCTATTTTACAAAATATTATCAGTAACATTTTAAAGGATTATTCAGACTGATCTTAATCACTAGTTTATAAATACAAAATGTGTCTAATGATAAAAAGTTTGTTTAATGAATGGCTGTTTGTGTGTATAAATAAGCATAAGAGTGCGAATAAATAGATATTGAGAATGTTAATTATTATATCCAAACTTTGTTGTGTGCATATACTTGAATCACCTGTCTGTCTGCATTAGTTATAGGATATCTGTTGTACACAAATCTTGACAAAACTTTGTGAAGTGATTTCAATGAAGCTTCACATGAATACTGAGGACCATGTGTAAGTGTTAAATTTCACTCTATTTTTCTTTCCAGAATTTGGGTTCCTTTGGTAATGTGGTCACAGTCAACAGATTTTACTCTTAAAGATCCTAACTTATTCACATTTTAATCAATTTTATTTAACCATGGTAAAATGGTGTAAATCATGAACATGACAACACAGTGGAAGATTCTGAGGATTTAAATTGGGATGTTTCCCAATTAGGCTCAAAATTATGGTATAAAGATTTTAAGGGATGGCAAATATAAGAGTACTTTAACATTTTCAAAAGATGATCAGTTGCCATGGTTACAAAATGATGTCAAACTCTTAGTCTCCAGACGACAATTCTAGTCGCATAATGGTTTGTTAAATAGGTACTGAAGTGAAGTAAATGGTATAGGAGATGAATTAAAATATTGAGGTTTGCATTGATATAAAGAGGATGTGACTTCCTGGGTATGAATGTTGTGATCATAGATAGCATGGGTATGAAATAAGTTTGGTCCATATTTATCAGTTAATGGAATTATCAAGACTTTGTTAATGTTCTGTCTATGTGTCTTCTCTCTCCCTGTTCTATCTGTTTTCTTTCCTTTCTCTACCCTTTGTATATTATATGTTCATGTACAATATATGCTTATTTATACTATTAATTAAAGTATTGTCACAAGTCTATGAATCAGATCATTTTTGTTAATTCTGTAACTCTTTTATAAAGAATGTCTTAACAAGAATATGGGGATAATCACCAGTTGGATATAATGTGATGCATCTGCTGTAAGTACAGGAATTATTATCCCCCGCCCAACAATGTTGGCTGGGGCTGACTTAATAATGGCCATTGTAATGTGAAGCATTTCAATGTTTTCTTACTAATTAACTTATCACATTGATTCATTCATATAAACGGATATATAAACAAAATAGTAAGAAATAGGTGAAATGGTTCACTTTACCATGGCCCTGCCCCACCCTCGTTATTTTTTGGTTTTTTTTATGAATTGAGGAACAGAATTAAGTAAACTGATAAAAAATTAAGTGAAGAAACATCAATTGAAAATAAAAGACAAAGTGGCTTCACTTTACCATTGGGGGGTTCATTTGACCTTAATGGTAAAGTGAACTGCCGCAGTTCACGTCACCATTATGGTATTTTGACCCGGTTCATTTCCCCATGTTTCACAATACCATGCTACACTGGTTATGATTTGTTTTACTGGTAGAAACTTTCTTGCAATTTTACATATCTGACTATTAGATGCTGTATTGTATTTAATTAATGTGTATAAACCATTTTACTGCTTTGTCATACTTGAGCAATAATGGAATCATTGCTTGATCCAGCATCACTGAAATTAGGTGACAACTATTTGATCATAACCATTAGGTTAAAGAAGTGAATATAAAGGTATGATAAGCTGATTTTAATATTCACAGTACTGTGTTACTAAATTGTTATATGGATCACTTTTGATGGAACTTTAAACTTAATATAAACAATAAATGGTTTCAATACTTCAGTTTTCCATGTTGCTCACTCATGTATATCTTTTACAAATGAACATGAGCAGGGATCTTGATGACTATGTCCTTGTTGATACAGCAATGAGTTTGTTATTTTATGAAGAAGTGAAGCATTTTTCTGTCAAAAAGTAAAATTGAGCATACATTGAAAAAGGCTAGGCTATATATGAAGATGTGTTTCTACACTACTAAATCTCCAAAATGGAGAACATTCTAACTACAAAAGCTTTCACATATTTTCATGGCACCAAATCACAGTATTCTAGTCCACATGGCTAAAACAAGGTTTTGGTATTTTTGTTTTAGAAGTGTAATCACAATTTTCAAAAACCTTTTTATTTTGAGAATTATAATACCTTTATCAATGTTAACTAATTTTTATTCAGCTCAGTTTCTGAGAAACTATAACTTTATAATAATTACAGCAACCATTTATTGTCAGAGATCTAAAGCAAAGGTATTTATGTAATACATGTAAATGTACGATATACAAGTGTACTGTATAAAAACATTATTGAAATAGCAATACAATATTGTCTCCACTTAAACAATTCTGCATAAAATGAAGTCATGTAGGTATGTACCATCTTTAACATCACAACACAGGTTGAGTTTAAGATAAAAATTCAAAATTTTACTGCTTTTAAGGTAATTCAACCTAAAATGCAAATTAATTCCCCACCACAAATATGATTTTATGCAAAGTAGAACTAAAATAAATTTGAGGAGCAGTTGGTAAACATTTATTTTGTTTTAATTTCTGTAGTCACCACTGCTGAA